AAAAAAAAAAAAAAAAAAAAAAAAAAAAAAAAAAAAAAAAAAAAAAAAAAAAAACAAATAAGTGTTCTAGTAGTTTCGCGATGAATCCTTAGAACTGCCAATAACTGTCTTGTTGATGCAGTTCTCCGAGTACTCGATGATAGCAGGTCTAGGGCTGGGACCAGAGCTTCCGTTGATTGGCGTGTAGGCGACGTAGAAGCAATGCCGCGTGTCTGTCTCCAAGTAGTTGATGTTAAAGTCTTTTAATCCTACATGGACCTGAGTGTGATTGTGACTTTTATAGTTGCGATCGTACGTCCCTATCTGATCGATTCTGGTAACCTTCCCGTCCGAATCCACCATTCTGATCTTCATCAGAAAATTAGAGCAACTCTTCAACGGCTGGCCGCACTCGGTGTACACAAAAATGACGCCACCCTGGCGCTGGTTAAATACATCGAGTATCTCATTCCCAACCTTAAACGCGTTTCGGTCGTATGTCCTCTTTTGACCTCTCGCGTCAGATTGTATGCACCGAAACGTCTTTGGGTGTTTTGAATCTTTCGGGTGGCAAAACAAGTAGTGTCCATTCGCGTTTGACTTCACAATGTCGTTCAACGTAAATAATTCCTTTCCAAAGTAATTTTTGAATATAATTGTTTCGGTGCCGTCGTAGCTTATGTGGCTAATGTTCATCGAACCCCCGGTGGCGTTGCGCTTGAGGGTCATGAAATAACCACCAGTGAACAAATGGTTTCGATTCGCGATTATCGAGTGCCCTTCCTCGTAATACTTTGAGGGTAATTTTGCTTGGCCGAATAGCTCACCTGGAAATAATTGGTCAGATTGTTTGTGTCTTTTAGGGTAACATACGCAAAGTTTGTCGATTCGTACCTTCGTGGTTGTATTGGAGGATGCACGGGCTCTTGATTTGGTCGCTGCAGTTCGTCTTGCTGTCGATTGCGACGAGGAAGCTATTGTCGTAAGCCAAGAGATGAAAGTTGGGTCTCCTCAGTTTCTGTTGTTCATCAGTTGGATGCGAGTCGATTGAAAAAGATAGATTGACGATTTTGCAAGTGTCCATGTCGACGAGAGTGACCGTAGTGTCCCAATAACCCCAGTACCACTGAAACACGGCTTTTTTTCCTCCGTACATACTTTTGAGATTTGCATCGACAAAGAATAAATAGTAAAAATCAGCCTTGGGTAGTTCGAACTTTACGTCACAACTTTTTTCAGTGCCATTCGGCATCTTCATCTCGAACTGACAATTGGCCTCATTTTGGTTTTTGGCTTCGTTGCAGGTCACGTACATAAGGTTCTGGTCAATATCCTGGGATATTCTGAAGAGTGCGGGATTTCCAGGTACGAAGTAGTTTTTTGAGTAGATCTGGATTGCAGCTGCTTGTGCGGCGATGCACAAGAGACCCACTAGTGCCACGTATTTCGTAGAAGACAACATATTTACTAAAAAATAAGTTTGCTTTAACTGTTTCTTCAGAGAAACTGGCGAGACAAATACTCTAATTTTTAATTGCATGAGTTTCAAAAAGTACATTATAAGTATGTACTGTTTGGATATTGGATTAATATAACAAAGGAAAAATTTACAATTAAAATTATAATCGGTTACTTACCGATTTTCCCGAAATGAATGTTAAAAGAAGACCTTGTACTCACTTGGAACCCGACAATTGACGACTGCATTAGAAGATACTCGTTCGCTTTTTGTACAGTTCACCCCGAATGTGACTATAAGATAAAACAATACCACGTGACTTATGGCCTCAAAGTATTGTCGAACTATGATAGGCCACAATCTTCCCCACCAGACAACTTTTGCACCAGTCTATAATAACAATAATAATGTATCATCAACTGTTCAAATAATATTTTATTTTATTTAAAAAAAACGACTTTTCAGGATCAATTGTAAGTGAAAAATTAAAACAATTACGTTGCTTCGTTAAGTATATTGTAAATAGCAAGACATACCTTAACTAGTTGCTTGATAATTGGTTGAGAGATTTGTCACGAAATACATTTTTTAAGACGGCTCATTTTTTTTTNTTTTTTTTTTTTTTTTTTTTTTTTTTTTTTTTTTTTTTTTTTTTTTTTTTTTAATAATGGATGTTTTATTGAAAAAAAAGAAAAAAAGGGTTGATTCAATGTGTTTTCAAACAATGTCAATACATTCATACGTAAAGTATTTACATTATTGCTATAATAATTCATTCGGTAGGTATACGTGCTGTTGACATAACGATGCCTCAAACGAGAGTCTATCTGAGTCTTTCGCTATGCCAAGCTGACGTCGTACCCCTTGAGGTACACTGAAATACTACGTGTGTACCTGCAAACCGAAGACAACCACCTTTTTTTTTATTTGCTTTGAAACCCCGTCCCCTTCTCTCTTGATCCCACCAGTAGAAGTAGGTCTATCGAACGCAAAGACAGCAAGTCTGGTGTCGTTAGTACTTGAATAAATTCTGTCGTTGCGCAGTGCTTGGGTGTCAAAGGAAAGAGGAGGATTCAATTGAACCCGCGCGAGCCTAGGCACCGGAAACGTGTACACGACGCAGAGACGTTATGGTTTTTGCGGCTCAACGAGCGCCGTTCGTGCCGAGTTTGCTGGAAATGGAATAGTCGTGGTGGGGCACACGCGTTAAAGTATATGGCGTACACGTGCGCGGGGAGAAAACGTGTATCTTTTTTCCTGTGGCTCGCGTGGCTGCTCGTGAAAGGCTAAGCGGCACTTTACACCCTCGTAAATGAATAAAACAACCTGCGTGCGTTTGCGGCAATTTGCTCCCTTTTTTTTTTTTTACTTTTTATCTTCTTTTTTTTTTATTATTGAGATGTTACGGGGTTTTACGGCCACGGGATAATGCAGTAACCACGAGTTTACGAGCAGTTGTACGGGATATGCTTTCCCATTGGTGGGAAACATTTGTTTTCGGCGTGTCTGACCGTACTTTGATCTTTACTACTTGAAACATGACAACTCAAAGTATTTTAATGTTCGTGGTAGCACATCGAATGATCAGGTTTTATGTTTTCAATGAATTTTTCACGACATGAGGTCTATTTGTTTGATACCCGACTGGCTTGCATGGATATCACGTGCTCTGCCAAAGACGGATAATCATAGTATTATATTTCAAACGCCCATGGTTTCAATACTTTCAATAAATCGTGCGATTGAAAAAATATTGTTTGACGTTTTCTTTAATTTGCGAATACAATAAACAATATTTTTTGAATGCTTAGAATAGATTTCAATACTTTTCGGTGCGTCTGACCGTATTTCGATCTTTACTACTTAAAACGTAGAAACTAAAGTATGAGTTAAGAAGGAGTTGAAATATTACAGTTGTACGTTTAAAACAATATCGGTGGTAAAAAATTTGATTCTTTGTATTATTTCCTAACAATGACGAACTTGGATAAGATGACGATTGAGAGTAGAATTTATTCAGTTTATAACACAAAAACAATAATAATTACGTATTTCCTTTGAATTTTCAATACCAAGCATTAATCGAAAATATTACTTTTTTTTAAAAACTTTATAGGAATATTTTGAGAGCGTCCGACAACATATTGACTTTTACTACTTATGTTACGAGAATCATTAATTATTGAGTAATCTAAACGAGTATAATAATACAATAAAGTTAATTAGTTTATCTTTTCCTCGTGAATACCGGATCTTTTTTTTAATGTTTTCAATGATTTTTAGGGTGTCTGACAATATTTTGATCTCTACTACTTGAAACACGAAAACTTCGTATACTCAAAATAATCGTAACAGTATATCTAATGACGGATTATTTTGGATCTTAAGTCATATGATGAGACATCTTTATTTTACATTTTGGTTTAGTTTGAACTGTATATTTTTTACACAATTAAATCAAAAAAAAATTTTTTATAATCGAAGTTTTCAATTAAATTTGAGCAGAAACTTTATTATTACAATTTTATGTATTTAAAATTATCATTGACTGTCAAACCATTTGATTTATTCGAGTAATTACTACAGTGAGACTCGTTAATTACGTCAATGTGACCACGTTTGTGTGATAATTCATGTCAATTGAAGTAGAACAGGTCAGTTATGGCCAGACGTGCATTACAAATCTCGTGGCGTATAACGTTCGAGCACTAACCTGCGGACAAGTCCACGTGACGAGGGATTTATTCCACAGGTGGGCGAGCACAGCGGCAGCCTCGCAGGTACTATAATCCAGCTGAGCAACCACGGCTCTCGTGCTTTTCTGGCTCATGGCATTGACGAGCGCTTCCAAGCCCAGGGTACGCTTGTCGCAGGTGTCTGTAAAAAAAGCGAAGAAGAAGAGCTAATGAACTCGACTTTTCCTTCCTTTCCCTCCGCTCGGGAGTCCTGAACTTTAATCACGGAAGGGTGGCCTTTTATTTGAAGGTTTTTTTTTATTATTTTTTTTTTTTTATTGGAAAGGCCTCGTTTCTTTTGTTAACGAGGAGGAGGGCTGCTCGCTTGCTGGCAAGGGATTTGAAAAAAAAAAAGAAATAGCTTCGCAACGCGCCATCGACCAAGCCAATCTAGAATACAACGAGGCTTGCTTGTGTGTATGTGTCGCGGACTGAAATTGGAAAAGTTTACAGAGACTTTCTTTTGAATTTCCCCCCTCCCCCGTGAGCTATTCGTATAGTTCGTAAGTTATCATCACTAAAAAAAAAGTATGCACTATTGTTTTTGTTTTGTTTTCGTAAAATGTTCAAGTTTTTTAGGAAAATTTAATTTCCTTTTCATCGATAAAATATTTGTTCGTTAAAGTGATGTACTTTGAGTAAATGCTCTTTTTAATTAGTAGGTAATTTCCCTCCTTCCATTTATAATCCTTGAAGATATACTTTTACTCGTAATGAAAAATTATTTTTAATAAACTATACTAGCCACGTCCACTTTTCCGTGAAAGTAGGCCACGTCATTACGAATATTACTTGTACTCTGGCATCCATCTGCGATAAAAAAAAAAAAAAAACCTGCGCAACACATTTCACTAATTGCCGAAGCAACTGATACTGGCTCCCCGTCAAATGCAACCATCCCGAGATTTTTACAGCAATCACGGTTTTCCTCATAATTAACTTGAAAAATTCTAATAAAAATTTGACAACCCGCACAAAAAGCACCACGTAAAAGCTTTGGTTTTGTTTTTGCAATCAAAGCTGAAACTCCCCAAAGTTAGCTCGAGCTAAGAGAGGGGAGTAAAAAACTGAAAAGACACTACACGCTGAGCTCCTTAAATTCACTTTCCTCCCCCCCTCTCGAGGCAATAAACTTCGTTTCCCGCTCCCTCCGATGAAATTATTGTTTGACAGGCTCAACCGCCCCCATCAACTCTCCACCAAGAATCTCCTCTTCTCGACGGCAATTAATCCGATTTTCCCCGTTAATTCTTTTCCTCGCAAGCTCCCAAGTTTAACGTTCACCCACCCCACCGAGCGCATGTGTACGTGGAGATTTGTTTTTCGTGCCGAGTATACAGAGACCAAAGGAAGCAAAATAACTGCCTCTCTGTCTTATTTCCTCCCTCCCAACAAACACGTGTATATATATATATATATATATATATCCACAGATTGATGGAAAGATATCTCGATCGCGTACTCGTTCGGCCCTGCCCAATAGACGCGCATCGATCGCACGTGCCCCTTACATTTACAATTTCCTCTTACATGTATGTATTTGTACGCGCCTATGACGCAACACGGATAATTGAGATTCGTGACCGCTAAATCGCATCGCAGCTTAGTTTCCGCATGTACCCCATCATCGAAGCCAATCGGAGCAGTTCTACTCTGTCCTCCCGAGTGTGTGTTTATTTTCCACGTATGAACGATATGTTACACGGTGGCCTCGACGTTTATCCATGATTGTTGCTTCCTCGATGAAATCGGCCATACCGATTTCTTTCTCCCGATCGATGGTATCGCTCACGATGCAATGAGGGTTATTTGACAACGGAGCGGTGTATCGGGCCACGGGAGTGCAAAGTTATAATTCTCGAATATAAAGTTGACCGCTTTTCATACGCGCGTGTACATATATAACGTTTATGCGGCGAGACGTCCCTAAAAAACCGGTATACGGAGATACGCGAGGGGTTTTAAAGAAAGTTTTCGTACGCCCTCGATCGGTTACTTACTTGTGGGGTAAAGTTTCTTCCCGGCTGCGATTAAATTTCCTCGAGTTTGAATATCAAGTGTTTCTCCGAGATACTCCGAGCTCAGCTCTACTGGATACCCTCGCGATGGATGCTGGTGGTGACTTTTTTACAAAGAGTTTGAAATAATTGATCGTCACGGATGTATTTGCTTTTGAAAAGTTTTATGGGGACCGTATGTTTATTTTACGAAAAAACCACGAAACGATGTCTTGTACAAGTTGCAGATATTTTGATATTTTGACGATTCGTGAGTCTTTTTCCGATGAATAAAATCCAACGGAGAAATCGAACAAATATCCTTGCGGTACTTTACGTACATCTATATGTAGGTATAGCAACTACGAGTTCCACATTAAAATTACAGCGTAAAAATACGGGTTGGCCGAATATATGGTACTTGAAATCTCGTGAATATCCAACTATACGAATTTTGCACGAGCATTGTACTGTATAGTAATGGGATGCCGCAGAGGCAAATTTTCTACAAAGGATCCAACTGGGGGGTGCACAAACCACACGTGGCTTCAATATATGCGCCCAAAGTGCTGTAGAAAATGCGGTGTTGAAACGAAGTTGGCTGCCAACCCGGTGGGATGAAAATTGCTCTTGCACATATGTACATATGCATATATATATATATACCTGTACGAGCGAGCACGAAAATAAGTGGCACTTGTAACTTTTTACGAGAATCCTCTTTGTAGTTCTGACGTATTCTGGAGTATACATACGTGAAAAATCCAAAATTATCGGGAACCATCTCGTCCCCCCTATACCTTCGAGGCTGTAAAACACACTCGTCAGCTTGAGCCAAGAAATAAGAAAAGAGTCGTACAGTAAGAAATTTTTTTTTTTTTTTTTTTTTTTTTTTTTTCACGTGTCGGATCCTACATACTTTCGGCCGTGCCCGTTGCGGCTGTATACGCGAAGAAAAGCGAGAATTTACGATTCACGTCCGAAGCAGCTGCACGAAATTGCACTCGTAAGTTTGCGGAACTCGGAAGAAATGAGAGAGGAAAAGTTGAGGGGGGGACAAACACTGGCCTACCGACATACACGTATACATGCCTATCTATACAGTAGGGGGTATAGGATTTCATAAAAGGCAAAATACCGAGTTCTCCCCATCTTCTTGTTCGTCGCAACGACAAAATATGTCATGCCTCACCATTTCACGTACACATACACATTTTGTTCCAACTCTACCAATAAAAGTAATCCAACGAGGTGTATGCACCGGTGCGACTAAATTACCAAAAAAATCATCATAGGTGTACAATCCAATCGACCCAACATACATACCCCCGATGTATCGAAGCATCCCCCTGTAGATCGAGATAAGGGAGCAGTGCCGTTTATTCACGAAAAGCAACCATCGATTACCCTGAAAAGGAAACACCAGCAGAGGAGCGCGGGGATCTCGGACCCACAAACGCTGATTTCTCCCACCCTCGAGACACGCAAAGCCCGGGAGGCAGTAAATTTCCGGGGGGGGGGCCTCGATGTACAGGGGGGGATAAAATAAAGCAACGACAACTCACCGGTCCTCGGCAGCGCGCCAACTGCGTCGCCTCCCCCGGCGGCAAGGATCAGCCGGGTGATGTTCGAGCCAGGGCCTTCGCACTGCTCGCGCAGAAACACCACGACTCCCGGAGTTGGTGGCGTGCTCCTGGTGGTCCTCGGTTCGAGGCTGGCGGTGGTGGCGCTTGGTTTTTGGCCGCGGACCGGGGACAGGGGCCGCGAGACGAGGACCACTGCTACTGTCAGGAGCCACCGCCAGCGCTGGTGCGACCAGCACCGGGCCATGGGCCCCGAGAGCTCCGCCGACCACCGTTTTTTCTTCCTCCTCCTCCTCTTTACTCCCCTTTAACACCTTCTACATCATATAATCAATGCCCAATGGCAATGGCCGTGGGAGCAGCTGTAAGGAGCTCACCCTGCGTATCGATGGCCCTGCGCTCGAGTTGGGAATATCTGCGCTTCCTCATGCTGGTGATGGGGAGTGAAGGGGTGACCAAGACGGTGGTTGATTCTTGTCCTTCGCGAAAAACCGCTGACTTTACATTTCGGTCATTTTTTCGGCTAAGGAGACGACTCGGTGGCTTCGACGGTGCCCCAGGGGCGAGGATCCTCGAGGCAGGTCCGTGGAGTCCATTGTTTTTCGAAGGACTCACTTACTGGAGCGAGCCTGAAACAAAAAAGGCAATTCACGACGTTTGATTTATAATCTCATTCTCCGTGTGAATTCATTCAGAATCACATGCACAGACATACATACATCGTATTTATCGATTTGGTATCGTATCAAATGTGTCACTGTAGGTACACGAAAGGGGAGAAAAAAAAAAAAAATTCTTATAGATTACGTGATGGTAATCCATTCATCGGTGAGTGTACAACGTGAAGAGATATAGGCGTGCCGAGCGAAAAGTGCTCAGCTCAACAGTGACACGTGGAGTATCTACGAACACTAGCCGAGCTCATATTATACGCACACGTGTAGTTGTTATTAATTTAATCTACAGCGGTATATTATGTGTTATAAACTGTCAATTAAACCAAAGTACAATATTATATAGTGTAGGTACCAACATTAAGTACAAATAAGTGAGAATCGAGTTAACGGCTCAATCTAGCTTGAGCACTAGCAACGTATACCTATCCATTTGAACGAGAGAGATCGTCAACACCCTCGATTAAACATTATTTTATGCCGCGTAGGCGAAACGCGCCAATGAAATTTCGTTTCAGGGGGGGGGG